GACAAACTGGCGGGGACAAACTAACCCAACAGCTGCAACTTTCCAGTTGCTCACTGCATGGTTCAGATAATTAAGTAGAAACACTGAAGAGACAAGAAGGACAGTGTGAGATGTACAAATCACATCACCAAGTTTCTTCTCACTGTGCCTTCACAAATTCTTGCAGGCCTTGAGCTCCACCAGTGTCAAATCTCAAGAGTCTTCTCAACAAAAACCAAATCAGTGCCCTCAAATTCAATCTCTATTCCCTACCTTGTCCATAAAATAAGGAAAATAGGTACCCCAGCTCAGAAAAGAGTATTTTTAAGCACCTGTAATGAAACCCAAAAGGTACAGAAACATTACAAACAGGAAATACAAGCAGCTAAGCACATCCAGAGAGATGAATCAATTGGCAATGGAAGGAAAAAACCCCATCAATGGTGGTCTACTTTAAAGAAAATTCTGGCTAGGCAGGGATTTGAGCTTTATTATTTTTATGAGTTTTGATTGCTTTGGGGTATTTTTCTTAGTTTTGTATCTTCAAGTCCTAGCTCCAACAAACTATCCTCCAGAGAATTGTACTTGACTAACTTACTCCAAACCCATAACCTGCAAGTACCTACACATTTATATATCCCAGTCACACAAAACCTCAATAAATCCACAAAATATTATCTAGTAGCTATTCATATTATCAACCACCTTTAATAATAACTAAAAAATATTCCAGAGATCATTTCTGGTTTGGGCCTTTTTAACCATAGCCCTTCAACTACTCTCCTTGCTGTTCACACACATGCACACACCCTGATGTAGCCAGACCAGCATCTCCCTGCCCCAAATACCTTTCTGTACTATTAAAAAAAAAAAAAACAAAAAAACTTCTCACAAGGAATACTTTTCTCCCTTCCTGCCCCAAATACCTCTCTGTACTATTAAAAAAAAAAAATCAAAAAAACCAAAAAAACTTCTCACAAGGAATACTTTTCTCCCTTCTAAAAACACATTTATGCAATTAACTTCTACAAACAGAAACACATCTGGTTGGCATGGCTGTCTAGCCAACATCAAGGTAGAACAAGAGCATTTTGAGTCAACATTGACACATATCCCAAGTCTTCTACAACATATTCAGGTGAACAAGGAAAGTGAGTGTGAATTGAACAAATCCTCTTCCTGACAGGAATATAATTACTGGACCAGAGTAAGAGGTTTTGACCACTTCTAATCTAAAAACTGCAATATAGCTTTAATTAGAACAGTAAAATTATAGGACACTCCCAATCCTGAAACCACAGCCAGAAATTCACTGCAAGATTTAGTCCACTCTGCTCTCGAGGATGAGATTCAAGCCCAAAATTCAGCATTTACATAAGTACCATGGGTGGCATTCAAGTCACTGTGATTAAATCCAGCAGCATGGACTAAAACCAAGGTCAGCAGATTAACTTTTATTACCTGTTCCTGAACTGAGCTGTGCTCCTGCATGGCAGGCTCCAGAGGATACCATCAATCCTTAGCCAAACACTCCCACCCAGGCACTGCACTCAGCCTCAACCAAACAAGCTGCTGACTCGTTCTCACTCGAGCCCACGTCCCCAAATGCCACCTCACACGCCAGCCAGGAGACACTGCTGGAGCAGGACTGGTACTGATGAGCCCCCACCTCCAGCACAGGGTGCCAGCAGAGGACAACAGCTTTTTCCTGCAAAGCCTGTAGTTTTCAGTCAACTATTTCACAATCACTCACCACTACAGGGCTATTCCAGAAAGGTCACTTTGAGCAGCTAGGAACATTTGGTGCTCCAAATCATGTTACATGGGTCAGCAAAAGAAGGCTCACCTAGGTAGCCCAAAAGCTGTGCACTCATTCGTGCAAATCACTCAAGAACCTCTGCCTACCCGAAGAAAAAGGTTCTTTTCAAACCAATATAAATACAGGATACGTGTAAAAGAACATACTCATAGTGTGCAAGACTGTCATTTTTCTGTAAATCAAGTTATTGTGAAAGAGTTTTAATTACTTTTAGCAGACAACAGAAGCAAGTAGAGCTTGTTTGTTTTTTTTTAATTTCAGGATTTCTAGCAGGAAAAAGAACTTCCATCTTTTTTAACTTGAAAGGCAGGCTTTTGAATACATACATTCAAAGATTTTAAAGAAGAAGCACAATCACTTGTAACTACTAAGTGCCATTACAAAACGTTAAGGCCACAAAAAAAGTGCCATGATGCTACCCTATTGCCCCAGCCCACCCCCAAGCAAGCACTGGAGAGCCCACAGCAGCACAGGGACAGGGAAATGCATCCCACGACCTGCCCACCACCTCCTGAGAGGCACAGAGCCACTGAAGTTTTGCCTGACACAATTTTTCATAACTAAATTGCTATTTGACCTTCTTCCCCAGGAATCTTTTCACCCAGGCAGACTAACTGGGCCTGCTGGAGATGCAATATTACTTCCAGTAGGACTGGGGAGCTGCAGTAGCAGTGAGACACTTCCTGGTGCATCCTGCTAACCCGTAGTTTGAAAGGAAACAGAAACAAGATCAGATGGAAACATGCTCACTTTTTTTCCACTGAAACTCAGCGGCGCTCGACCTACTTCCCATCCCATGCCTTTGCTGTCACTTCCTTTGACAGTTTGTCAGCACGCTCGTGAATCTGGAGATTAAGGAATGAATGTCTAGGAGGCAAAGGAGCTGGACTTTTTCATCCTGATGTTCAGTCAAAACTTTTACAATCCAACCAGCAAGGCGTGCAGTGACCAGCCAGCAACAAGCACCTCCAATTCCTGGCACCCAGCAGGAATTGCTAATCAGCTGTGTAATTTCACTTACAAGTATGCACTTAAAGGTGACTGATTTCTTATGAAACACCCTCATTCTCCCTTTTTTAGCTCAGGGCATGGATTAGCATCTACAAACAGCTTTGGGTTTGCCACTTTCCTGTATTCCAGAGCTCCTGTCTGAAAAGACATTTTATCTCAAAAAATACTTGTAATTAGCTCCTTACAAATGAATAAGAGTTTTAAATACCAGTGGCTCCAAGCACATGATCCTCTATTTTGTAACTACAAACTCAGCCACTAGCTATAAATCCTGAAGTGAAAGGATCCTGTTTTCCAAGCCTGGTTTCTTAATAGAAACCAAGATTGCCTCCAAAATACAAAATGGTTGTAGCAAAGGCAGTATATTAAATTCTTCTTTAACTGAAATTACACTAGTAGTTACTCAAAATGTTAATTTCTAGGATGAACACTAGCACAGTGACCTGCTGTGTTGAGAAATACATTCCAGTGTTTAGCAAGAATGGAAACATTCACGAGGCACACGTTACACGACTTTACTCAGCGTAGCAGTAGGTGCTCCTACATGTTTAATTCATTTGAAATAGGAGATGTCGAAGCTTAAGGCACCCAGTAGCAACCTACATACAACCAATATGCATTCCTAAAGCTTCCTGCCAGGCCATTCACACGACTTCAAAGGGTTAGGACACTTCTCTTGCACAGCACCAAGAGAGCCCAATTTTCCAACTACCAGTGCTCAATTTTCCACAAACCATGCTTTTTCATGGGGGAAAGGACTGGAGTGGAGAGGAAAGGGAGAAGGGTCCCGGGCAGACATCTGAACTTTGGCTCCACGTTACTCACTCCAAAATTATCGGCCTAAAACATTACAAAGCCACACAGACCACGCAACAACACATGCAAAGGAAGATCTGGGCAGCCTGTCCATCTCGTAAGTAACCTACAGGCGCCTTCTGGAACAAAAAGGAACTGAAGATGTATCATCAACAGGTCATCTGGCTGCTTCTTTGTGGGAAAAAAAATTCGAAACGCTGCTGAACAGAAACCGGAAACAGCCTTTTTTTTTCCCCGGGTCTCCCCCCGCCTCCCAGACGCTTTCAAAATGAAAAAATAAATAAACCTATCGTCCTTCAGATGTAGAAGCGCCAGCTTCTAGCTGTCTGGGAGGCTTTGTAATTTTCCTTACCCAGTAGTGTTTTTTCAAGGCAGAGGAGCCCCAGAAAAAAATACCGAAAAGGGTGGCCTGTAAGGCCAGAAACAGCAGCATTACAGCCAGACTGCTTTTTGCTCCCATGTATTCCAGAAGCTGCATTGTGCAGAGGTGAAATAGCTGCAGTTTTCGAGGTGGCAGTTGAAACAAAAACAAGGGAGGTGGGGGCAAGAAAAATGATTCCGGTATAAAAATCTAAGTGCTTTAAAATATACCCTTTATTAGAGGAAAATTATTCAGCTAAAAACACAATTGCTCCTTCTCTCCCCTGCCTTTTGAATACCTTCTCTACAGCTGTTGCAGGCAGAAATGTCCCCCTCGTTTCAGGAATAGATCGTCCTGAAAACGTATTATTTAACGAGGTGAAAACAAGAGCGGAAAGAAAAACCGGACACGAGTTGCGCTGGACGGCGGGCTGCTCACAAAAGAGCCAGAGCTAAGGAGATGGGAGAGAAACCCTGCAATTCCCCCATGAATCTTAACATTAAAGACACAACTTACCCACCGCCCAGCTAGATTTTTCCAGAGTAAAACATCATCAAATTTGGAAGAGCTAGGGATTAAAAAAAAAATGAATAGTGAGCGACTTTTTTTTTTTTTTCCTATTTTTTTTAAGCGATGTTTTTCCCCAGGGCAGACGGCTCGGCAGCCGCTCCATGACAAAGAGCTTCCCCAGCACATTCAGCCCCAGAGCGGGGCCAACTCCGGGTGGGTAGGAAGCGGAAAAAAAAAAAAAAATTAAACAAAAAAATACAAACAAAAAAGGACAAAATAAAATAAAAGAAGACAAAAAACTTCCCAAACCCCGGTGGAGGGAAAAAAAAACCCGGAGAATTATTTGAGGAACAACCACACCGAGGGAGCCCTGCGTACGAGGCGCGCAGGGCGGCGGGAGCGGAGCAAGGAGCCCGAGAAGGCAGGGAAGGGGCAGGCCCCGGGCAGCCCCCCACCCCTCCGACAGCGCGGACGGGGCTGTGCCGCGACAGGCGCGATACTCACCGCGGGGAGCAAGGCAACGGAGGAAGGCACCCACGCCGGCAGGCCGGGAGCGGGGCAAGGGGCAGCCTCAGCCTCCTCACGGCCGCGCGGAGGGCGATAGTCCCGACTGGGCGACAAGGCAAGAAGCCCCAGAGCGCTCACCTCCGACCGGCAGGGCTGCGGCGGGCCGGCGCTGCGAGGCGCAGGCAGGGAAGCAGCGGGAGCAGCTGCCGAGAAGCAGCCGGGGAGCCGAAGCCGATGCTGATGGACGCCGCCGGCTCCGCCGCCCTCACACCGACTGCCGCGCCGCCCCCCGCCCCGCCTCGCCGCGCGCCACACCGGCGGGGCCGGGCCGGGCCGGGCCGCGCCCCCTGCCCGCCCCGGGGCATGGCGGGAGTTGTAGTCCCGGCCCCCCGCTTCGCCTTGACCTCAGCCCGTGTGCTCGCTCACCTGTGTGCAGGTGTGTGCCGGGGTACAGGTGTGTGTGTCCCTGTGCAGGTGTGTGTCTGTGCCCACTCACCTGTGCCTTGTGTGCTGCACAGCGCTGAAAGCCCACAGAGTCCCTGGCTGCCTCAAAAGGAGCGTGGCCAGCAGGTTTCCCCCCACCATTCTGCTCTTGTGGGACCCCACCTGGAATACTGCCTGTGGTTCTGGTGTTCCCAGTACAAGAAGGACACGGAACTGTTGGAGCAAGTCCAGAGAAGGGCTTTGAAGCTGATAAGAGGACTGGAGTGCCTCCGATACGAAGACAGAAAGTCAGAGCTGCTCAGCCCAGAGAAGATCGTGTAGAGAACACATAGCAACCTTCCAGTACCTGAAGGGGAGCCTTCAGCGGAGCCAGAGAAGCTGTAGCAGTAGGACGAAGAGTAATGAGTACAAGCTGAAAGAGAGGAAATTTAGGTTGGATATTAGGAAGAATTTTTTTAGTGTGAGCATGGTGAGACACTGGAGCAGGCTGCCCAGGGAGGTCATGGATGCCCCAGCCCTGACAGCATTCAAAGCCGGGTTGGACAAGACCTTGATCTACCTGATCTAATGGGAGGTGTCCCTGCCCAGGGCAGGGTGTTGGAACTAGAGGATCTTTCAGGTTCTTTCCAAATCCTTAACATTCTTCAATTCTACAATTCCATGTGTGTGCGTGTGTGTATGCATACATACATATGGATGTACATAAAAATGTATGTATGTGTACATGCCTGTATATGTATGTGTGTGTATATATATATATATTTCAACTGAAAGACCTTTCTAGCCACATAAAGAAATACTATACTAATTGATTTTGCTCTACGTTTTCCATAGCTCATGAGAAATCACAGCCTTGATGTGATCTTCAATTGTTTTCTTATACATGGTAAGAAACAGATTTTTAAAGGAAATGGGAGTTTTTACCACCACACCATTCAGAAAACAACACGGTCCTGCCCCAGCACAACACACAAAGTCAATGGAGATGCTTTCATAGTCATCACATGATGAGCTGCTGAAGAATTTTCCAGAGTCAGAAATATTAGTGGTGCCAGGGTGTGTAAACTCTACCAGTCATTAACCTGAGTTTCTAAAAAGAGATTAAGAGATACAACTTGAAGCTCCCAAATTACAAGAACAAAAGGCGCCTGGACGATAATTCCTCATGATCTCTGGTGTAACCCTGCACATCCCAAAAATAGCTTTTTCCTCAAAGGCAGTACTCTTTTAAAACACCTGAGATAAAAATAGCCCTGATGGTAAATTCACCACACCCCAGCTTTTGGTGGCTGCTGTAAACAAAGCCCGGTTTTAAAACTCAGCTCTCCTCAGAGCATTTATTGGTTTGCCTTTCCATTTGCTGTAACTTTGTGCTCCATGCTCAGCAGCTTATTATTCCCTGCCATATTCCCAACGCAGGTATTTCCAGCCCTCTGATCAGGGCACACTTTGGTCCCTCTTTGCTGAGTTCCTGGATCCCAGCATCGCTGTGGTGCGAGTCAGACCCTCAGCCCTGAGCAGGAGCGTATCCCGCATCTCCCCGTAGCTGCTGGAGGTTCCCATGGGCTGGAGGTTCCCATGGGACTCAGGCAGGAGGGAGGACAGGACACACGTGCAGGCACGCGGCAGATGGGTGACAAGTGACAGCAGTGTGGAGGCACGGGTGGAGAAGCTCCAGGCTCCAGCTCAGACATGGAAAACCTGCTGAGTCCCGCCTGCCAGGAAGTCATGTGTCAGGCCAGGGAGCAGGCACTCCCTTTCCAGAGATGGTGGGCAAAATCTGAAGGAAATGGGATGGGGAAGAAGGCAAGGGACAGGTGGAGAAGGGCTGCAGTCGTGGGCAGGCATCCTGCTGGAATGAGCGGCTGCCGCCTGACCCCTGCGTGCCGCCCGCCGCGCTCGGAGCTTTGCCTGTAATGAATCACCCGCCACACGTGTGATGTAACACGGCAGAGGCAACAGATCTCATTATTATCCAATTTACATGGGGAAACTGGGGTGTGGAGAGGTGAATATTGTGCCTGGGGCGTACTGAGACCAGATTACAGAGGGCCTCACGCTGCCATCCCATGCTCACTTTACTAAGCTATATAGGAATTAGGTGCAGCTGGCAGAAGCAGACATGGAGCATGCTGTGGAAAGTTTGGGGGGAGAGGATGAGCTTGGCATTCACAGTACAGAGCCTTGCCCCCAGCATCTGTGTCCTGCCACAACAAATAGTCCCTCTTGCTGTGTTGAATGGGGTCCCCTTCAGCTCCCAAGAGCTGCTCCAGGTTGCTGCCCCACGCTGTGCTCTTCTGTAGCATCTGTTTATCACTTTGGCCCTTGGGAGGCTCTTTCCTGATTTTCCCCGGCCATACCACCCTTCTGCAGAAGATGAAATGACAATGAGAGATTCCCAACATCCCAGCACCCCTGCTGCAGCCTTGTCCCAGCTGCCTCAAGGATGAGTCCCGGGTGCCGGCAATGCAAGCACTGACCTGGCCCTGTACTGGGAGAGCACCTGCAGCCAGACCAGGCTTGTGTCCCATTGTCCTCTTTTATTTAACTCCAAATTAGCACCTCCATGATGGATTTCTGTTTCATGAATTGGCCCAATCCCTTCTTATATCCATGCAAGCATTTATCCTTTGCACAACCCCCTGGCTCAGCACTGCTCTCAGTTCCCTTTTCATCTCGATCCTGCCTCAGGGTTCATTTCTTTCTCAAAGACGTTTCAGAGGGAGCTTAAGAGAAAAATCAGCATTACAAAGCATTCCTCTTGTAGGAGAAAAAAATTTCAGAAAGCTTTTCTCTCCTTACTATTAAAAAAAAAAAAAAAAAAACAAACATTTCAGAAAGCTTTTCTGTCCTTACTATTAAAAAAAGAAAAACAAACCAAAAAGGAAACAGCTGAGTTTGGTGACTCTTTTCGGTATTTCCTTATATTTAACACATGTTCCTTGCTGTGGAAAAAGGGCAATCACCACTGACGGCTTAAAGTCCTCCAGAGGTCTGGAGAAGCTGGTGCTAAAAACTGGGCTTCAGAACTCAGCTCCTTGCTGGCAGGAAGCCTGGGGGCTGCTTTTCCCTCTGATCTTGCCATGTACCCATGTACCATAAGCTTGTACCACTACATGGAGAGACAGCAGGAAGTTAAAATATAAAATACTCAACGTTTTGGGGAAGTCAAGCTGGACTGAGGTGACCCAGTACCATGGATAATTCACTGGAGAAAGAGTAGAAAGTAGGTAGAGCATCACCTTTGCTGTCCCATCTCATTTCACACCGGTTTTCCCCCCTCAGTACTAAAACTTGGAGCTGCAACTCAGACAATTGGAGGTCTGAAATAATCTTTGATATTTAAACTGCTATTTTCTGTTTTCTGACAGCCACACACTGTTCCAGTGTTCGTGTGAACAGGCTCTCTGAGTCAGATGCAAAATAAAGTGACACATGGTCCCCTCTAATGTTCCCATCAGAGCACATATCGTCCTGTGATCTCACTGCAGCAAGGAGGAAACAGGGAAGGCTCTTGCCCAGGTTTCTGTGCTGCTCTTAACTGCATATGGCCCCAACAGCAACAGTTCATTCACACCTCACTGCCCCTGTCTGTATTATTAAATAAAATGATCCCCAGCCAGAGAGGCTTGGCTGGGCTCAGGACCATGCTGCTAAACGCTGTATCCATGAACTAAAGCACCATGACCAGACCAAAACTCTTCAGTGCATCTCCTGGCCATGCCCAGATCATTTTCCAGACTCAGGCTGCCAAGTTCAACCGGCCAGGATATTCACCAAGCAGTCTCCAAAACCTTGGAGAGGCCCCTCACTCCTGGGGGAGAACCTGTGTCTCCAAGGGGTGTCCTCGTGCATCTCTAAACCAGCTGCCTCCCTGGGTTACAAAACTGAAGCTCACATTGCCTTTCTCACCCAGCCCATAGGACTGCAATGATTCCAAGGGATTCCAGCCCAAGCAAATTTCACTGGGGACTGATGCTGCTGGGGCTGAGCATGATGACAGGGTGCTGGGCAGGTGCTGGTGCCACAACATGCTGCAATTCCTGCCTGCGTGGGTAATCAGCGTGGCTCAGTGCCACGAGCTGTGATTAAGTCATTAGTCAGTTGCGTGAAAATATTTGAGATTACAAGTCGATGCTGAATTCCTCCTTGGAAGGGTTGAGGAAATTAATATTTAGCTCTGGTGGACACGAGGTCAGAGCTTGTCAAACACAAGACATGATGCTGTCACCCCGAGCGCAGGTGTCGGCCTCATCATCAGGTGTTGGGCTTTTCCAAAGGATCATGCTAATTCCTTGTCACAAACTCAGCCTTGGCTTCATCAAGGGCTAATCATCAAATCATCGTGGAAAAATTGAAGCACCCTGAGCCTGGCAGGTGATTCTTTCTTTCCCATGGCCAGTGGTGGGCACTGGCACCTGCACTGCGCTCAGGCAGAGTAAAGGGGGGGCTGTGCAATCATCCACAATCAATCAGGCCGGGCGTGTACACCGATTAAATTACGTTCTTCCACCAGTTCTTAGAAATGTAATTTGCTTTAAGTTAATAAGCAAACATCTACCCTCTCAAAGTGTATTTACAGAGCTGTAAAATCAAGGGGCACTTCATAACGGCAGCGAGGAGGGAGGGAGGGAGCTGTGGTACCAGCACAGTGTTTAGTCAGGATGCTGCTGGAGTGTCACAGGTGTCAGACACCTGGATGGACATGTGTCAATCCCCCTGACACAAATGAATGAATTAATTATGTGGAACAAAAATCATAGTCATTTCAGAGGACCTCCCTTTGAACTGCAAAAGAGGAGGTTTAAGCAGAACAAGAAGCCTCCTGCTGTCCCTTCAC